CCCGCGCCATCGCTCGTCCCCTTTCATCCTCCCGATTCGCCGAGCAGCGCGGACGTTGTCGTGAGCCCTTTTTAAAAGCTTAAGACATCGGGGCGCGAAACCGCCGCATCAACACTACGGGCTACGTCCGGGCTGGGAGCAAAGTTTTTAGACTTTGCTGGGGATGGGGAGGGGGATATTAGAGCGCAACGTCGTTCCTGAACGACGTCGACTTCGACGAACGACGACGACGACGACGACGACGACGAAGGTGGTGGTGGTGCGGCGGACGGGGACGCGAAGTGATGTCTCGCGTCGATTTCGTGGGGGGAAAACCTCGCGGGGCAACCCACCTTTCCTTTCCTTACTTCGCTCCGCCACCCTCTCTCACTCTCTCTCTTTCTTTCTCTCTTTCTCTGCCATCGCTCGAAATTCAAATTTCTCGTTTCACGCGACCGAATGGGATTCTTCCCTTCTCCCCCGTGAGCACCTGCCCGAGTACGCGCCGCAGTCGTCGGAGTCGAGATCGATTCGCTCTGCGTCTCTCGCGAGGTGACGCGGGAAACGCGAGGGCGACGCGCGACGGAAGGGAGGCGAGGAGGACGGTGTGCTCGCAAATACGGAGATAAAAGCCGCTGTTGTTTTCTTTTATTCCCTCCGCATCCCTCCTCCTTCCTCCCACCCTTTTTCTCGCCCTTTTTGACGGACGAGATGCGACCGGATTGTCCGATTCGAGCCGGAGGACGAGCTCGATCTAAGAATGTAATTTCGACCGTAACTTCATATGTAACTCGAGAGTCACTCTCGTCGAGCGAGATTGCGGAGAGAGTTTCGTAGAAAAGGCAGAATTTAGTTAGGAGTAGCTCTGTTGAAGAGGGAGATTCCTCCAGAAAATTTTGAAAGGATTGCCGTGTCGGACAGCGAAACTCTTCAAATTAGCGCTCCGAGACGAAAATTCATCTATAATTCTATAGGTAGCTCCTTTCAAAAAGTACGAACTGTCGATTTTTATTCCGAGAAATTAACATTCAAATCTCCATCTTTATCCTACATAATTTATTATTATCAGTATTTTAATGGGCCTCGGTATTAGATATACATTTAACCATTTTGCAGCTTTTCTAATATTTTATGCTTTCTGGAAACTTTCAAAAGGACTTGGCGAGGGAATCCGAGGGAAGATGTTGGAAAAACTTTTTGCATTTACGTGCGTGGAGGAATAAAGGAAAAGCTTTTTCGAAATATTGAAAATGTTCCGAGGCATACGATTTTGGCGTAATAAATCAAGGAAGTAATTTACTAACCAAGAAGCAAATTATATGTAGAGATACAAATGCGGTTTCATACTTAGAAAAGATGATACATCATCAGTCTTATATAAGTCAAATACTATTAACTTGAGGTGAAAAGATATTGTCGAAATGATGAAGAGTGTGCGGATTCTTCCACGCATCGATAACAACATATTAACAGAGATAACGTTATCTCGCGACTTTTCTCCCGGCAGAATTAATCGTGAGAATTCTGTGTACAGTTTCACATACGGCAATTTATCATTTATATTATACATTGCGTATACATACAAATGTAATTGTAATGAACATTTCACGACGTGCATTTACCAATTCCGTGTTTACGATATTATCATACTTGCGAGTCGGATTAAAATAAATTAATAAATAAAATAAAATAAAATATGATAATAAATGATAAATAATAATATTTATATTTCATTATCATTTAATAAAGTATAATAATATAAATAATATAAATGATAATATTTTAATTAATTATACAATATAATAATAAATGAAAATTAAATATTTATTCATAATTGAATTATTCTAAATTATGGAAAGTATTATATTTTGGTATAATATTAACTCTAATACATATTTATATCTGCAAAAAATAATATCTATTCAAACTGCGTACAGAAATTTTAAAACATGTTAAATATTACATTCACGTATATTTTATTTACAATGATAAAGGGTGTGGCACAGCGCCAATCTCACATCAAACAAGTTATAAGTGCTAAAGCAATTGAGTCAATTAGACCTCTCCAGAGATAACGGTAACGAAAAATAGATGAATAAAAAACTACCTTGCACGCGCGCGCGTTAATAATTATTCAATATTAAAAATTTATAAAAAATTTAGGCAAGTTCACTAATTCAATGAGCAATAATTAATGATTTGCCACTTGATTTTCCAGAAATGACGAAAATAGCAAAACAAACTTATTAACTATAATGCTAATCCACAGATATGTCCAGCTTTTATAATTGTTAATACATTGTAATAAAAACGAATAAAAACCTGTCATTATTCATCATCTTCATATACATTTCACGAAAGCAGAAGTAAAATATTTCAGATAATATATTAAATATTTTAACATAAAAAAAGCAACGTATGAAACCTTTCACGTGTAATATATCTTATTCAATTTACTTAACACAAGGTGTCTCGTTTTCCTGACTTTTCTCGCAACATTTGAAAACAAATATAATAAAATTAGGCCAAATTAACGAGCATCAAACGAAGATGAACATTCGAAGAGCCGGCAAGCCGTTTCCCGTGCTCGTGGCTTCGATCACAGCCTGCACATCCCATCGATCGAATGATTCGAAGGCTCGCGCATTTTTTCGACCACGATCGTCACGGGGATCGGACGGATCCCGGCGATCGTGACCGCCGCGAGTTAAATTGACGTGGACTTCTCCCCGTCGCCGTAATTATAAATAGGATAGGAAAGCGCGCGGAGAGAGAGAGAGGACCCGCCAATACTCGTCGTCGTCGTCGTCGTCGTCGGTGGACGACGATGCGCCCGGAGCGGCCCCGAGGATGTTTCAGGAATATCGAGGACGTAATTATCCCGTAATTACCGTGCGCGGTCTTGACTCTTGAGCAGCTCTACGTCTCGGCGGTTATCCGAGTGGAGGGGGAGGGGAGGGGGGGAAGGGGTAGTCAGTGGTTGGCCTTGTGCGGTAATTGTACTAATTATTACTGCCCTTCCCCCCCTCCGGGCGCCCCCGCGCCCCCGTGCGCACCGCCGGGTTTCCTCCCCCCGGCCGCCCAATTACCCCCGATGGTCCACGAGCGCGCGCGCGCGCGCGAGAAAGAGAGAGAAAAAGAGAGGGACTCTCTCTCTCTCTCTCTCTCTCTCTCACTCTCTCGCGCGGAGAGAGATTTCAGAACCTCGTTTCTCGGAAAAAAAATCTTTGTTAGCGCCCGGTAGAAGCCCGCGGGCCCACCGTCGTAAAATTGACGGTGGGAGGTTTCTGGGAAATCGTAATTAATTTACGGCCGCATAAATTAGGGGTAATCGACAGGGGACTAGGCATGCGAGTGCGCGAGACGGGGCACCGGTATAATTGCGCGTTAAATTTTACGCTGTCACGTGATTATACGAAGAGGTATAAGGGAGCCACGGTATGTAACACGGTAAAAATGTGCATCAACTAAGAACGTGGCTGCAGCTTCCTCTTTAACGTGTAACGTTAATTAACAGTCCCCGAAAATTGTTTGTAATTTGAGATTTAATCGGCGGTGAGTTTTCTTAAAAAGTTCCCCGCAAATTCGATCGAATATTTTGCGCGCAAGGCGAACGGCGTTCTGGAGTAAACGGTACCTACTTTATTCATCAGCCTCAAAGCGCAAAAAAAAAAAAGAAATGAGTCATGATTTAATTTCACATGATGTAAATTAAGTTGGACCAATAATTAGTGAAGTCGTTTATCACAAAATGTATAGTAGATCGTACAATAAGTCATGTGATAAAAGTACGTTTAACACGTTCGGTCTTTTCTTATTTCTCCCGCGTACTTTTTTATCATTTCACGAACGATTTGGCGCACATTACTTATTTCCGTGCGAATATATACCTCCCGCCGCATCAATCTATCTTCGAATGAAAGATATTTTTGAGCGCGTTGCGCGCCAGGCATTAGAAAGTCTCATGATTCATCCCACGAGCTCGTGTACATACGTACGATTCCGAGACTGCAGTGACGTGACGAGTGACCCCAGGCGGCGACCTGAGAAGCGACGCGTGGCGTGGCGCGCGGCGAGAGGTAAACACAGCCGCGGAGCGACTTGCGACGGGGCCTGCGGGGACGAGGGCGTACGCTCGTCGAGGCGACAACAGCCGCGGGTTATGTCTGACGTCGTTTACGTAGCACGTCGCCGCGCGACACGTCGCGTCGCGCCGTTTTTCGACGGCGAGGGCGAGAGGAGGAGAAGGGGGGAAGGGGAGGAAAAAGCCCGACCTCCGGCGTGTCCCCGGCGCGCGCGTGACCACGAGAGAGCGGAGGACGAGCGGATAGATCGCGGGTTCGTCGGCCCGTCGCCCTTACCTTGCGCTTGTCATACGCCGCCAGCCACTCGTCCGCCTTCCGCTTGTCGTAGAGCACCCTGGCGAGGCTGCCGTGCGGCCGGTAGGTCCGCACGGCGCGCCCGGCGACGGCGGCGGCGGCGGCCCCGTCGCCGCGCTCCTCGCCGGTGACGCTGCAGGTGGTGTCCCGACAGCCGTAGGCGCACCTGACGACCCGGGCCTCCTCATCGTCCGCGCCCGCCATCCAGGTCCTCTCCTCTCCTCTCTTTTATCGGCCCGCGCCCGCCTTCCGACACGTCGGTCACTCGGCCACTACGCGCGCATCATTCTTGCGTGCACGAGGGGGCTCCTCACGTTCGCCCCACGTGAATCACCACCGCGCGCGGCGGCCCCCCCGGTACGCCCGATTCCACACCGGGGCACGGTCCGCAAATCGGACGGCTCGCCGTCGCGTAAACACCGCACGTTCAGCACGTGGCCATATTGCGACAGTGGCGCCGCGCGACGCGAAGCGGCCGGCGCCCGAGGCTCGGCCCGCCCCCGCCGGTAATTGACCGACCGAGGCGCGCCGCGATCGATTCACGTTCGTTTCGTCCTGCTCCTCGCGTGACGTGACGTCACGCGCGGTTCGAAGCGCGACACTCGCGACCGGCGACGCGTCCGCGTGCTTTTCAGCGGCTGTTCACGAGGTTTCGTCAATTACTCAATTAATCGCGAGCGTATACGATACATGTCGTAGTTGAGAAATCATTCTAAATCGGAATCGCAGCCGGGAAACATACAGAGAAACATATGTATATATATTACGGGCGACGGTCGCGGTGTGAAAAAAGCGGTAAGTCGTCATTTATGATCTCCATTTGATAACCTAAATCGCACGCAATGTCCAAAATCGGGACACGATCACATAAGACGTCTTTAGACACGCGTGCGATGTCTGCGATGTATGTATCTCTCGACACTGAGAATGATATTTTCACGAACGCGGATTATGATACTGCGAATAATCTCCGCGCGCGTCTGTTCGCGGGCGACGATGACGATATATGGTTGCCCTCTGTAAAGAACGCTCGGAGAAATTGATAGCGTTTTCGATTTGTAGACTCGATCCAACTCCGAGTCAAAATAGTCTGTTCTTTTTAGCGTTTCTTGTACACTTTAACTATTTTTTTTATAGCTAAAAAGAACAGACCATCGACTCGGAGTCGGATCGAGTCAACAAATCAAAAACACTATGAGATACAAGAGCGTCCGCAGGATTTTTTCTAGAGGGGGGGCATGATTCAAATTTTTAATACGAACTACCGCGAGGAGCAAATGTCCAAACGTTGTGTACTTGTGTTGTATTTTAGCTCTCTCACATTTGACAAACATATTTATTATTTTAATTATTTGTAAAAATAGAAAGCCAATTTTGAATTT